AGGCAGATGGGAGTCGCAGGGCCGGACGGCCCCACTCACCTGCTTCACCCACACGTTTGTGGTCATCATCTGGTTCTTCTCGTCCTGGAGCAAACGAGAAGCTCCTGACCCTCAGCCCAGCGTCCCCGGCCTGTGCCCTTAGTCGTGACCATGGGGACTAACAGTGGGCAGTGGCCTTGGGAGGGGTGATTCCTGGTCCGCGGGCGCCAAGCCCAGGCCACCGGCCCACAGGGGCTCAGGATAGCGGGCACGGGGAGCCCCCCCTCCCCCGCAGATGTGGCCTAGGGCAGTGAGGTGGCCGTGCTCCTCCTCCAACCTCTGAAGCCAGCCCCAGGGGAGAGGGTCCCCTCCGGCCCTGGGCCTCCCTCTGGCCTCGGGGAGGCCGCTGCTTCCAGTGAGGAGGGCGTGGTCACAGCCCATGAGGCCCCTCAAGCCTCCCCTGGGGCCTGTAGCCCCACCTGGGTCCCCGCTCCGTGTCCCTGACATACTCTGGGCAGGCATACCCGGCACCAGCGGGAACCTCCTGGTCAACGTCAGGCCCTGGGCAAACACACGCAGCACCCCAGCTCTGTGTCCTCACCCCCCACCCTGCGGGGCTAAGCATCGACCTCTGACCTCTGGGAAGCCACAGCTGCGCCCCAGCCCCCAGTGCCCAGGTAGGCTCTCCTTGCCGCGGTCTGGAGTGGCCTCCCTGGGGGAGCGGGAAGAGGCCTGGACGAGGGTCCACACAGCATCCTGGGGCAGCGTCCTGGGCAGTGGTCTCCCGGCTCCCAGGGCCAGCCCTTTCCTCACCGCCTGGACTGAGACAGCCGGTCTCAGCCTGGAAGCACCTGCACTGGCTCCCCTGAGTCCACAGGCGTGCCCCTGCCCGCCCAGGCCCGGCTCTGGCCCTGCTGTCTAGTGGAGCCTCTGGCGGGCCGCCCAACCACCCCAGCTGGTCCGCTCCCTAGGAAACCTTGGAGAGAGGGGAGACGCTGACTGGGGCACACGGGCCACTGCCTGTGCTGCCGTACAACCTCGGCCCGCACCACCTCGGCCCTGCCCGCCCCCCTCCTCCACCGCAGGCTCCAGGGTCCTGGGAACAAGCGTCATGATGGCAGGGCCAGCCAGGTGCCCTTGGAACTGGCAGGCAGTCCATGTGCTCCGGCACATTCCAGGGGGCTCGGCGTCAGCCCTGGGGAGTTGTGGACTGCTGGGATCCCACAGCCTCCACCCAGAGGGGCGGCCGGGCGGCATGGGCTCCCCAGCTCCCACCTCCTGCACAGGCAGTCCAGCATGGCGAGGGGAGTGGGCTGGGCAGGAGGCCGTCCCTGCATGGCGGGGTGGAGAGCCACTCGTCCCCCAGGGAGCCTCAGTGCTCTGTGCACTGCGGGCCTCGGCGTCTCTGGGCAGACAGGGTGCTGCCGCAGGGTGGGGACCGCGGAGAGGGCCTGGACGCACGCAGGTGGGAGACTAGGCCCGGGCCACAAGAGGCCCAGGGCTGCCCTGCTGACCGCTGCTGGCGGTGCTGCAAACCTCAGCAGGGCTGTCTCCTGGCTGGACCCCAGCCAAAGACACTGTATGAGAACCATTCAGGGCCGGTTCTGGGATGCTTCAGGGCGGCCGCTCTGGACAGGACCACTCGACCACCTGGTGTCCACGTGCAGCCAGCCCTGTGCAGGGCGGGGCATGGGCCTGGCCCCAGCCGCCACTTTCTGAAACCTCGGGACATTGCTCGCTCAGCCTGGGATGGTTCACGGGCAAGAGCCCAGGGTGGCTGGGGTCACCCAGCATTCCGGCACCAGCCTAGACCCAGGGCCTCCCAGAGGAAGCCTCAACAGGCCCAAGGCTGGAGTCCCGGCAGGGTGCGCGGTGGGCAGGGGGATCCCCTCCCAGGTCCAGCCCCTCCCTTGACCTTGCAAGCTGGGAGTCGGCAGCCAACCCCTGGCCACCGGACTCTGCTGCGGAGAACTCAGCCTTCGACCCGTTGCCCCCCTCCTGCTGGCAAGGTGCCCAGCCCAGCAGCCACTGGCCGTGCCTCCCTCCGAACAGCTGCAGCCCAGTTTGGGAGCCACGGGGCAGGCCCTCGGGTAGGAGAGCTGTCAGGAACCTGCGGATGCACCCAGGTACCCCAGGAGGGCCCAGTCGAAGGGCGAGCCTGGCAGGAGGTGTGGCTCTCACTGTCCCTGCCAGCCCCTCAGAGCCACCCCAGGCAGCAGCCGAGGCAGCAGGGGCTTAGCTTGAGGGCAGGACATGCTGAGGACAGTGACCCAGGGCCCTGGCACGACGCCCCGACTGCTCCCACCACCCCATGCCCTCACAAGGAAGGTAACAGAACCCGGGACTCATCTGGACCCCCAGTGCCACTGGGCCGGCCAGGGTTAACCAGGCCCAAGGTCAGGGCTGCCAGAACACCGCAGTGCCTGCCCGGCCTCGCCTGCAGAAGCCTCTGACCCCCCGCCCCCCGTCCCCGGTCATCTCCTGTTCTCTCCTGAAGGTGCCCTACGCTGACAGGAAGGAGGCCGGGCCGGCGCTGCAAGGGTGCTGACTGTCCTGACGCTGCTCCCTGGGCGCGGTGGGCCGCTGGCCACCAGCCGGACACACGCGGCCCGTCCTCACCCGCG